TCAGGGTATGATTTCACAAAAGAAAAACTGAGAATCTGTTATTATGTCCTTGAAAGGAGTCCAGAAGTGAAAATCTAGCCCATATATTGCTAAACTGTATAGTACAGTACACTCATGATGAAAAAGCCCATCAAAGAAGATCATTATCATGTTTTGTCAAATAAATCAGACTCCATTTCTAATAAGATTTATTATTTTTTACCATGTCCATAGTAGCACAGGAGCTCAATTTTTAGGAGACACCCACATTTAAAATACTGTTTATTTTCATTTTTGTAATTTTGGAACATTGTTGATATTTTAAAACATGGGTCACAAAAGTTGGGAGATATTTTTTTAAGGTGTCCATAATCCAGATTATTTGCTAGTTTAGGGTGTTTATATATGCTGGGGTCCCAGCACAATAAATTTATACATAAGAACTACAGTATGGTACGGGTGGACTCCCTTACTGATCTGCAACAAAATTCAAGTGGCCAGAAAAATTCATTGTAGAAATAATTTTGCTGTAGATAGCCTCTTTAAAATAGGAAGACAAACCTATGGAACCACAAATGAATTTATTATGCAGAGAAAACTGTTGTAGACAAGATTGTTGTAAAGAGAGCTCACTTGTATTACAATTGAATTGAACAACAAGCTTAATTTTCAGCGTTCACAAGGTTTAAGCAACATTCCCACATCCCTACCCCCTCCTCTCCCCACCCACAGTTATCTGAACACATTCCATCACATCAGAATGGAAAACAGAGAAAAAAGCTGTATATGGATATAAAAAGAAAAGAAAATACATCCCAAAATGTACAATTGCACAACTGATGTAAATACATACACTTTCTTCCCTTCCCTGATGGGAAAAATATCAGTAATAAAAATTGCTGCACAAGGTAGCTACTAAGCCCAAATTAAAGCAAAAGGTGTTCAGCCTGCTCCCACATAAGGTTTGCTCCCAGCCTGCTCCCAGAAAAATGCACCATGTGGATAGAATGAGTGACATCTACCATCACTTCTGGAAACACTTGCAAAAGCAACTGCTTCATGTTCAAGCAAGCCATTCAAATTAGGCTTTAAAATGCTTATTTTTTTTGGAAGCCTAGTATGCAACATGCAGTATATATATATTTTTTTGGCGTTGTTGCAGATTCTCTTGGCCCCAGCAGGCATCATCATGGGGCTCATCTTCTATTTCCCATACAGCCACTTTTACTTTATTCAGCAAGGAGCCAGAACAGACCAGGCGAGTGATACATTGAATGGTGAGTTGATATTGCATACTGTACATTCACGCGTAATTGAATTATGCAAATTACACCATAATTATTATAATGATTAATAATTATTCCTTCGACGCCAAGTTGGCAATGCCATCAACGTGTGGACTGCCGTGCGGATGGTGCCTTCAATCCTGGCCTGCTGTCTACTCATCATGGGTGCAATCAAGGTTTTTCTACGCATTTTCTTCCAGCACAATTACAATGGAAATGATGAGGATGATTAATTACGTAGGAAGAGAAAAAACTACTCAGGCCCTGGCTGGCCTGGGTCGCTCTCAACTGCGTGTTCGGCCTCGGGTGTCTTGTGGCACTGATTGCCTGCGCCCGTCGCGCCCTCATCGCCAACAACGACGTCGGCCTCATGTGGACGCAGATCTTCTTGGTGCTGATCGAGGGCCTCATGTTCCCGGTAGTCTATGCCTACCACAAGGTGAGCAAATGCCGTACTTACCTTACAGTAATGTACTAGAGTACCACAAAATCGTCACTTCTTGAGTACGACACGCACATTTGTAGAAAAACCTAACGTGGAGTCAGAAGCTCGGTGCGTTGAAATTTTAAATATTTTCAGAATAAAGCATGCAAGGATTTTGACTTTTCAATTTACCCTTTCTCGATTTTTCAAAGTTGTTTTTCAAAATGGATGTAAAATTTTTCATTAGACACAAGTACGATGCGCACCTAACGTTCAAAAATTTTGAAGTACTGTATTTTATTCTGGCCTATGATTCACAGNTTTTTTTCATATTATCAAGCGAAATAAAACATATTTTCTATCGAATGCAGGAAGGATGAAGTGTCACACTCGCACCACTAGCAAAACAATGTCTGCAGTGAAAAAATTCTGCCAGGCGTTTTTATTGAAGTAATCTGTGATTTTCTTGTGGAACTTCTGTGAGCAGTAAATGTTGACCCGAAGGCAAAAATAATAATTCATGGTGATTGCAATGGGAATTTCGTGGATCATACAGAAAATTAATTCCTTGTAAGCCATCTTGGAAATTTGTAGAATTATGTTTTCATAGAATATGCTTCTGTGATGTTCTGGTCGGGACTTCTTTCAAAAGTTTAGAAAGAATTGCACGTTATGGCAAAAAGTATTATGCAACAATTTGATCTATATATTTTTTTCTTTTTGTCATCACACAGAGACTCTGCAGAGATCCGGTACGTTACGGCCAGGAATAACTTTGCTGGACCTCATTGGCGATGACGAAGATTAGCCCACTCGCATTATTTTGTTTTTTTTTAATAATTTCAATTTTCACAACGGGAAAAAAACAGCAGGAAAAAAACAGCCATTTCCAAAGAAGAAGGAGCGAGTGATGGAACGAGAAAGTTTATGATGCTTCCGTCCAGCAGCAAACAGTCTTCGGGCAGAGATTTATTTTTTAAAATATGAATAAATTATCTTGTCATGATCGCGATGCGGGAAATGAAACAAATGAAATCTAGTCTATTGTCATGTTTAACGAAAAAAAATTTAATTTCTCGCACTCAGTTATTTTTTCTTGTGTGTGTTCATGTGAATAGGTAGCACTACTTATTTTAAAAGAAAAATTCTGCGGACTGTTTTCTTTGTCATTTTCTGTTTATAACCGCTCATCATCAACGCAAGATTCTCCGGTTTTTGTTACGGTGAGAAATGGGAAAAGAGAGTTTGAATCTGTTATATTTCAAGCTTTATTTCTAAGGGAATAAACGATGTACATTTCGGTATCTCCTTGTTATGGAGAGTCGATTTCATTTTCTTTCGTTCCATGTTTTCCTCTTTCTTTCCTTCTTTAAACATATCATCATCCTGTTTTGAAGGCAAGCAGTTGAGTTTATATGGAAAGAGAAGAGTTGTAAACAGTCTGAAATGAAAACTATCACAATTTCAGAATCTAAAAAAATTGACGAACATGAGGGAATAAAGTAATAGTTTTTGCTCCGTCTTGTCTTCAACTTTTGTGCAATTCGGGAAGTTGAGAGCACAAAATTGTCACGATTGCTTTAAATTCATACTCGAAAATTTTAAATTCATACTCGAAAATTTTAAATTCACAATTTTACGCGGAAAGCTAGGAAAATATAATTTTGTAACATTTACATGTGTACACTGAGTGCCTGGAACAAGTGGAATAATAATTTACTGGCGTAATTTACAGCAGTGCAACGTTAATACAAATCACATTTTGCATCCCAACAATTCTGCATAAAAATGCATAAAGGAGGAGATATTTTCCTTTCGCCGAGGGAACCAACTGTAAAAAGAGATTCATTCTGTTAATTATAGTAGCTTTGATAACACACAAAGGCCCAAACCCCATTTTGGTACCTTTTTATTTTATATACAGGTGCCTTTTGTACGGGTCACAATCGTACTCAGTCCCATCCCCATAATTGATGGATACCGGGTCCGTTTAGTTAATTTGAAAGAATTTCGAAACCAATTCATTCCGTTTCAATTTCTATTTCTCTATCCATGCGCAATGGTTCACAAAATCAGGCAAAACTCAATATATCGTCTCATCAAACTTCTTGACGAGCTCTCCGTCAAACTTCATGGCAATTCAAATTCGCACAAACGCTCAAGATGAAATGACGAAAGAAAATTATGCAAGTGTATGCAGCAAATCCTAGAAATATCAACTTGAGGGCGTAAATTCACCTGATCGTCGTGATGAACAGAGTTACGAAACCCGAAAGTCGAAACAAAAATACAGCACTGTGCAAGCTTTCCAGCAAATCGATTTTCCGACTGCTGGAAAGCATCCGGTTTTTACAAATACACGCAAAGCGCAAAAAACATACTTTTCCACGTTTTACATCTTCAGCTAAGCTATAGAAATTTCATCGTCAGTCTTACAGAGAAAAA